CGCCGTGCCCACGCCGTGCCCACGCCGTGCCCACGCCGTGCCCACGCCGTGCCTCGGGCAGTGTGGTATGGTCATCCCAAAGCGGATCTGTGGTGCGGGGATTACGGCGCCAGCGCTGGGGATTGAGTCCCGCGGAATGTCATACTCCCCCCTCTCCTCTCATCAAACCCCACCCCCAATCCCAAGCCTAATCCTCTGCTATTCGCCTCACTCTATTAACATCTCATTCTTTAAAAAATAAATATCATGTTGAAGCCCTTTGAAACTTGAAAGTGGGATAAATACACTGCATATTTTCCCATACGTTGCTTCCCAGAGGGTCTCAATTCGATTTTGTGTTGATGCTCGACTTTCTGTCCACCGCCCCCTTTTCCATCCCACCCACCCTTTCCCCACTCTTCGCACACTGTGCCGCTGTCGAGGTCGAATCGGACACGCCGAAGAGACATGACATTCGTCCAATTTGGAGCATGGCGTGGCGCGTGGCGTTGTGTAAAAGTCGGCCAGGGCCGGCAAATGGCGAATGCATTGCGTTTACTAACGTGAAAATTTACTGGTGTATGGTTGGTGGCCCCTTCGCTGCGACCCCCTCCTCCCCTTACCCAAAACCACCCCTGCTAATGACGAACGGCATGTAAATGAAGCAGGCAACGGAGTGGCTTGCGTAATGCAAAGCAGACGACGCGACACACCAAAGGCCGCCGCTGCTGCTGGGTGGCGGCGGCGTGGCTCGTCTCTGTCGGTTTTGGATTCGCGTGCGCTCCGGGTGCAGCACGCGTGCAGTGCACCCACAGCACTACTCTGGTCAACAGCAGATCGTTAGCGTCGTTACGGCCCGTTACGGCCCCACAAACAACACGACCCGCATGAGTGGGTCCAAGCAACGAATTGTTTACTCTACTCCGCGCCGCCGCCGTCTTTGCCTTGCTTGACTCACGAGTGGCATGGAGAATCAGGCGTATGTCGCTAGTGGGCATCGGCGGGAAAAGGAGGAGGGCTTGCGCGGGAGGGAAAATAAATAGTCACAAGAGGGCAGCGCAACGGGTAGCGCGCATCAAAAAATTATTTGAGTAAAATGCTTGCAATTTTAGGGCTTGCGCGGACTTCTACGCCCCTCTCTGGAAACCCAACAGCATGCATTGCATGCGTCATATAAAGCATGCATGGTATGCACACTGTATTTAACGCATGCACTGGGATGCATGTTGAATCTAACGCATGTATTGAGATGCATGCTGTATTTAATGCATGCATTGAGATGCATGCTGTTGCTACAACTCGTTTTCGTGGAATATTTCCCTCGTTCGAAAGGAAATTTCTCAAGAAATCCGATGGGCTAATCAAAAATAAAGCCGAAAAGCTCACTTAGGAAATATTCCACGAAAACGAGTTGTAGCAACAGCATGCATCTCAATGCACGCATTAAATACAGCACGCATCTCAATGCATGCGTTAGATTCAGCATGCATCACAGTGCATGCGTTAAATACAGTGTGCATACCATGTATGCTTTATAAAACGCATGCAATGCATGCTGTTGGGTTTTCAGAGAATTCCCTTGGACTGAACCTGGGCCAAAGAATTTCTACCGGACGTTTTGCACGCTTGCAAAGAACTAGTTCGTATTACAATGCTTCAAAATTGTTTTCAATTTCCAAAGAAAATCGTTTGCAACACAAACTTGCAATCATTTGGCAGTGCACCCGCACACACCCCTGCAACCTGCGCCACAAGTCGCCCGGCTCCACTCCGGCCACGATAACCTTCCGGTGAGACCTTTCGAGGATGATCTCGGATTACCCGGCCCCACGGCAGATTACCGCGCGGTTTACGTTCTAGAGTATAGCTAATACCGAATTATACCCGCTTTTCCTGTCTGGCCGGATTACCAAAGCCGACTCCCTCACTCTGACTCTTGCGCACGGCCCTTCCCTTTCCTTCCGCTTCCTACCCCAATCTCGTGTACAGCGGCCTTCGCTTGGTGCATGTGCGTCTCTCTCTCGACGTGTGTGTGTGTAGGTGTGTGTGTGTAGGTGTGTGTGTGTGTGTGAGAGTGTGTGTGTGTTGGATGGAATTTTCAATAAGGATCAGTCAAGTGTCATAGTCGCTCCGTGCCGCATGAATATTAACGTGTCGCACACGTCCTGCCCCTCACTTACACCCCCTGATCCGGGGCCGCCACCGTGCTCGTCGGGCGGCCAGGACCTGCGCTGACTCCTGTAGCTGTCCGGGCTGATGAATGTGGGGGGGGGGGGGGGGTAACTGCGCGAAAAGACTTCCGCGGCTGCGGCTCCGCGCGCCTCGCCGCGCACCGTCCGCAGCGTTCGGTCATATCCTCGCAGTCGTGTCTGCTGTCACACCGAGACGCGCCGGAACACGCCTCGCGCCAATCTCGATTCCTCTCCCTCTCTCGCTATGCTGTCCCCTCTTCCTCCTCTCCCCAGCACGCATTTCTAGCGTACATTCTCATATAGCCTTACGTCGATTTTTCGTCGATTTTAAATAATTAAAATGTTGAGAAATCTGCCGTTCGCAAACCGATATGCCATAACTCGGCCAACGGCCCGCCCGCGTCTCGCGTGTCGTGCCCCTAGAGTTCAGCGTCCCCGAGGAGACAGGGGACTTGTGGCAGGAAGAAACAGGGCTGGGGGAGAGACAAGGGGAGAAACGCCCGGCGGGCACGTCCGGCCCGGTCTACTCAGGGCGGCGCAGCGATATCCTTGTGGGGCTCATCGTAACCTTATAACAATTACGTCACCCCTGTTCCTCAGATTAGACCGGTCCGACAATAAAGCCCCCTCTCCCTTCCTCCCCTCCCCGCTGGCCTTTCGTCGCTGTCTTGGCGTCTAGGCGCGCGTCGAGGGACCGGCGGCTCCACCCCAGGGTCAGGGATGAGGGGTCGATCAAGATTTTATTCTTCAGCCCTGATACACTGGGGAAAACAAAGGTGTTGATCTAACTTTTTTGCAAATAAGCCATACAATTTGCCGTGCCAATAAGTGAACGACTTTTACAGCATTTTGGGGGATTTTCAGTGCTTTCACGGTAAAAACAAGTCCTGGGAATCCCAGGAGTTTTTTCCGTTTCCCAGGGGAGTTGGAAGAGTCCCAGGAGATCTCCTGGAAATGTCTAATTTTTCCCAGGAGTTGCCCTGGGATTAGGGCAGCCCTGGGAGATATGATGCTATTTCCAGGGCATCCC